ACTGCCAAGCGACATCATAATTGTCAACCGATTGAGAACCATAGTCCAACCAAGTTGACACACATCCTTAACCATTGCATACTCTGTAACCTATGCGGTCTCCATGAGTTTGAATCCACTCAACAGCAATTGGTTTTATAAAGTAACTATTCTCCATTCTCTCTTCCCCTAGCCTCCGGCAGCCATTGATATTTTTCTGTCTATAAAGATGTGCCTGTTCTGGATATTTCATATAAATGAAATCATAGAACATATGCTCTTTTATAATTAACTGCTTTTCTTAAAAATTATTTATTTTTCACATACAACTTAGCCACATTTGTTTGTTTATAAATCATTTTACTAGGAGCTCTTACAGCTCTTATAACAATCTATATATAAATTGTATCAAGCACATTTGTTCATATGTTGCCATCATCATTTTCTTTTGTAAATCATTTTATTGGGGGCTCGTACACCTCTTATCACAATCCATTCATACATCTCTTGTGTCAAGCACAGTTGTACATTTGTTGCCATCATTCTCAAAACATTTGCTTTCTACTAGAGCCCTTGGTATCAGCTCCTCATTTTCCCCTCTCTCCCACCTTCTGGACCTCATGACTCCTTGATAAATTATAAATTGTTATCTTACACTGCCTGCTGTCTCCCTTCACCCATGTCAACCTTTGCATCCGGTTCCCCTTTTCTCCCCCTTCTCCACCCACCTTCCTCCTAGTCTCATGGTATTGCTACTTCCATTTCTGTTCCTGAGGGGTTGATCTGTCCTGGATTCTGTTGTGTCGAGAGCTCTTATCTGTGCTCAAAGCACATGCTCCAGTCTAGCTGGATTTGTAAGGTAGAACTGGAGTCATGGTAGTGGTGGGGAGGAAGCATTAAAGGACCAGAGGGGCTTCTGCCATCTTTCCATCCCTCAGTTAGACATGACCCAGGGACAGTTCTGGAAGATCCATCATGATGGCTGCCCAAGGAGAACCCCAAATCCAGTTCAAACTCATACTGGTGGGTGATGGTGGTACTGGAAAAATGACATTTGTGAAACATCACCTGACTGGTGAATTTGAGAAGTATGTAGCTACCTTAGGCTTTGAGGTCCATCCCCTTGTGTCCCACACTAACAAAGGCCCTATTAAACTCAACGTGTGGGATATGGCTCGTCAAAAAAAATTTGGAGGACTGAGAGATGGCCATTATAGTCAAACCCAGTATGTCGTTATAATGTTTGACATACCTCAAGGATTACTTACAAGGATGTGCCTAACTGGCACAGGGATCTGGTTCGAGTATGTGAAAACATCCCATCCTGCTGTGTGGCAACAAAGTGGATATTAAGGACAGGAAAGTTAAGGCACAATCCATTGTCTTCCACCGAAAGAAGAACCTTCGGTACGATGACATTTCTGCCAAAAGTCACTGCCACTTTACTTTGAAAAGCCCTTCCTTTGAGGACTCATTGGAGGCCCGAACTTGGAGTTTGTTGCCGTGCCTGCTCCTGCCCCACCAGAGGCTGTTATGGACCCAGCTTTGGCAGCACAAGATGAGCATGATTTACACGTTGTGCAGATAACTGCTCTACCTGATGAGGAGGATGACCTGTGAGAGAACGAAGCTGGAGCCAGCCCAGTGTCAGAAGTCTAGTTTTATAGGCACCTGTCCTGTGATGTCAGTGGTGCAGCGTGTTTGCCACTCTTATTCTAGAGCTAAGCAGAATGTGCTCATCTTTGGGATGCTAAAGGAGATGAACGGGCTTCAGAGCGAGTATAGCAGTTAAAGCCTTCTCTCTCTCTCTCTCTCTCTCTTTTGGACCTGCATATCTAGCTGTTTGGGAACGCGTTTTTCTTTCTTGAAATTCAAATACAAGACTGATGCAGTCACATCACGATATTCAGTGGTGACGTTTTGTTTGTCAATTGTCATTCCCATTTGTTTTCGTTAGAATAAAGTTGTATTTCAAATATCTAAAAAAAACCCAAAAAAACTAGAGGAATGGTGTGTGTTTCATCAGTGCTATGCTGTACCCTGGCTGACTTGACCCTTCCTTGTGACCCTTCTGTGAGGGGATGTCCAATTATCTATAGATGGGCCTTGGGTCTCCACTCCGATCCTCCTCTTTCACATCAATATGATTGTTTTGAATCTTCTGATGCCTGATAGCTAATCCCATCGACACCTCATGATCACACAGGCTGGTGTGCTTCCTCCATGTGGGATTTGTTGCTTTCCTGCCAGATGGTTACTTATTTAACTTCAAGCCTTTAAGATAAGGTGACCAGATGTCCCGCTTTTGGTGGGACAGTCCCGATTTTGGGCATTTTAAAAAAAACCGATTTTTGGAAAGAATGCACGACAAGCTAGGGAACAGTCTATTTGGTCCATATAGACTAAACTTTTAATCAAGAGCCCCCCACCCCCCGGCCAATGGTGTCTCGCTTTAAATCTGGTCACCTTACTTTAAGACCCCAGAAGCTATATCTTCTAATCGCTAGGCACC